CATCTGAAATAAATAATTTTATTTTAGATGGATAAAAGAAACATGAACTATTAAATTCGTTACATGTAAGAAAAACTCACAAAGTCCTTAGCCTATTAGAACTCGTGCACGAATGAGCTGGCACGCTGTCTGGAATATGAATGCTCAAAGGTCTGGGCAAAGGATTATTCAAATTTTCACTCCTCCTACTCTACTTTTAAGGAAGCATCTCACAGTCACTATCCAGTAAGTACTTCTTCGAAGGTGCCATAGAAACTGACTAGGGCCTTTCTTCTCATATTTATTTCATGTTGTCGTAAAAGATCACCGAAGATGGAATACGAGGTCGGTCCTTAATAAAAATTCCTTGATTATAAAATCATATACATATTGCATATGAAATTGCATCTCCTTGAAGTTCTGAAATCCAAGCATCCACAATATTTCATCTTCAATGATCTAGAGAGGGATAAACAGATGTTACGTTTTCTCACATTTCTTACAAAATTATATGTCATTTTGCAAGAAGAATAATCATAGAGACAAGCATCTCACACGATTCTTTGTGCAAAGGTCCTACACCTTGCTCTTGAAGGATACTTGACAATATGTATCACCAACAACTACGTCCAACCAAGCTAAAATCTCAAGTGAAAACCTTAGCTCCTGCTTCTGAAAATGGTGAATCAACTTGATGATGATTGTCATCACACGATACTAGAGTTGTGAAATGCTAACTCTGACAACTTTCAAAGTTTCTATCAGCTTGATTGTCGGTGAAAATTGCAAATCAGACAGCAATGATTCCTCATAAATAGCAGCATATCCTGAAGGAGGAGAGGGCTTTATCAGTTAAAGCTGATAATTTCACCATCATATCATTTGAGAATTGAAATTTCTTTTGAAATAATATCTTATAACCATACGTTATGGTTGATATAGCCTCTTTGGGATAGTCGCACTTCATCAGGTTCTCAAGGAGATGAAGTTCTTCAGACGTCGGCATCTCAAAACATGAAATATCTACATCACAGTGGCACAACTGTAATACAAAGCTCTACTCTAGAGTGACACAACAACATACCAAAGGGAACTCCGGGGTGGCACAATAATAGGCCAAAGTGAACTCTATGTTGGCACAATAATAGGCCAAGAAAACCCCTTTAAATGTCAAAACAACAGGTTGGGCTTCCAAGCTGTTTCTTCTCTTTCAGGCCTAGTTGCATGCTCAAATTCATGAAAAGGGGCAAAATTTTAGGAAAAAATCACTTGGATCGTGCCTCAATCATGCCCACCATCTACCACTACTGCAGAATGACCTAGACATCATTTGATTGTGTGATTTGCATGAGAGCATGAAAGCGCGGAGCGCTGTCTAATCCAACATCCATGGATCATCGACTAACTTTCTTCTGTCATTTGGGGCTCTGTCGGCATGACCTGCATGGGCCCCATGTGTCGACTGGCCCAATCTAGCCTGCAAACGTGCTCATCGTTCTGTGTCCCGGGCTCAATAATGGCCAACTTACATGCTGACACTATTGACCTAAGTCGCGACCTGATACAGCCAGTGATTCGGTTTAACCGGTGAACCATCAACACAACCGCACACCACAACCCATTAAAACTGGATACCCACTAAAACCCGGAGTGATGCCTCACACGTGTCCCATGGCCTCTGTCACTGCCTTTTCAGCTTACAGGCGGCAACCACCATCTACCACTGCCTCCAGACGATAGTCGCCGTCCGCTGCACCATAGAAAAAGTTCAAACTTTCTAAGTATCTTAAAATATACTTAGTTTTTATTATTTCAGCAAATTTTAAGCGAAGAAATCAAATTTTTTTAAAAAAATTTGAGGGGAGACAACTGATATGTCATCAACAAATTTTTATCATATGACATAAATTTTGAGGCATGACATGAATATCGAGGCACCTTTTGTATAAAAAGTTTTCAAACTCAAATTAAAAATCATCTAGAACTTTAATGAACTTATAGTCAAACTGATTGGCTCAATGAGACAGACATAATGACACAAAATTGATCTAATCACAATCAAATCAATCCCAAATCAAGCCATTAAATAACTTTTGAAAGTTTTGGGTGGTGAATTGGAATGCCAAATTAATTCTAGATCTAAAATTTTTATAGCAAATCAAGCATCTCAATGAGATGAATTCAATGGGCTCAAGATCACTCGACACCAATATTAGTAAGATACTAAAATGTGAATAAAATGTCACCGGATTGTGAGAGTTTCTCTGGGTGTCATCTGACAGAGTCGTTCATATTTTTTCCTTATTTATAGGGGAGGTCACTCCCAAACTCTTTGTAAATAGAGCCCTACCCTCTTGTGAAGAGGAAAGGAATGACTAATATTTGAAACCAAATCAAGAATTGAATGGAGAAGAATGAGCTAAATTCTAGTGTAGTCATAGGTCAAAGACCCGATGAACACTTCACGCTCCCACAGTCACTGACTACCGTCCATCGACCACAACTCGTTGGTCGTCGTTGAACATTGTTGGCAGCCCCTACTCATTACAACAAAGCACCATATAGAGTAATGACTTACATCACGAAGTGATGAAGAACTATACAAAGCAACGCATCATTCTGAAGACTGTGCAATGACGTCCCTCGAAGATGGTGCACTAAAGTCCCTGTCAACTAATCCCAATTTCAATCGCTCTTAACTAGTGTACAATGAGTCCTTTTGCATACAATGATTGTACTTCGAGGGACTGTGTAACCCTTCGTTTGTGGCATAAGGGCCTATAGAGTGTACTCACCAACTCACAATAGATCATTCTGACTAGGCTAGACCCTATGTTTTCTCCCTTTTCAGGTTTTCCAAGTAAAATTTCTAGTGTCTAAATCTGTCACTTCCATTGTATGTGTGTGTTGAACTTTCGTACAACACTAAAACATTAAATAATTATTCTGTCAACGTGAATCTTCCAACACGCAACAATGAGAAACTATAAATATTAGAGAACTTGAGTTATAAACTTAAATAAAAGAGTTACGATCATCCACTATTATAAAGAGTAAATGAAGACATAAAAATAAAAGATACGATATAAGGGAAAAAGATGTCACTAGAAAATCTAATGTTGATAACTCTGTGTATTAAAAACTTTCATAATTAAATATAGGACCAAATGAAACTCTAATTTTAATAAACATAATAAAGTCAGTCATCTCAATCATGTCAATTCAAAAAAGTCTAAGATTACTTAATTTTGATATCAATAAGACGCCTAAATACTAAAAGAATGATTCATAATCAAAATCATTAGCATAAACCGTCTAATGAACTATTTATGATTTTGATGAAATTAATAAAAAATATTGTTGTTAAAAGCTATAAATAAATCTCTACTCTCCACTTAAGAGGGGATCTTAACTTTAATGGAAAGAGCTTCAAGATTTAAGGAAATTTAGAGCTAACCTCGATATTTAAGTTTGAGTATCATTTCCCAATGCTTTTTAACAAGCTTTAGTAAATCAAACCAAACATCGACCAAAAAGGAAAGAATGCTCAAAAGTTTATTTTGGAATAAGAGTTGAATTGTGGGTCAAATGGGTGATATACTTACAATTAATGTTATTTACATATAACTTAAAATAATTTAATAATTATGTATTACTATGTTAAATTTGTTTAAAAATTAATTAAAAAAATTTAAAATATAATTATATGAATATATCTACTATATGATATATTTTTTGAATTATTGCCGCTCAATTTTTACAACCCAACTAAACCTAATTCTTATGTCCCAATTCTTCATTTCTATAAATATTCACATAACACATTTAATCCCACATTATAAAGAGGTGTTAGGACTATAAGATTTAAACTAATAAAAAGAGAGCTTCATATTTAGCCTCCTTTTGGGGCGGTAGTGTGGTGGCAGTGCGACACCATACCACAGTTTTATCTGCTTGAGTAAACTGCATTTTGTCCACTTTTTCAAAAAGTTAACACTGAAATATGTTTTTTCCCATTAGCTCTGAATAAGTGTGGTGGCAGATTTCTGGCTGCGGTGAGACTTTTTCAAAAAAAAAAAAAAAAACATTCGAGAAAATTTGAGAGCTTGTAAGAGAAACAGATTAATTTCAACAATTTAATCGCCTGCATAAAAGAAAAAAGGTTTCTTCGACAGAACAAGAACGAAGGAAGAACTTTACCTAAATGTTTGGACAGATAAAATTCTGTATCTCCGTTGATTAATGATTTGGCCGTCGATCCAACGTCACAGAATGGATGAAATCGAAATGGATGAATTGAAAGCGAAATACGATGCCAGTTTCAGCTTCCAAATCTCACCAAGGTGACGCCTTTTCATGAAAGCGAGAAGGATTTCATATATAGGCCGCGATTTTCTTCAAAAAGAAGTTTACAGGAACCGAATGGGAAAAAAAAAACACGAAAAAAGACAAAAAATTCCGTTGCCGGGACTCGAACCCGGGTCTCTCGGGTGAGAGCCGAGTATCCTAACCAACTAGACTACAACGATAAACAAACTCTTAGTCATTTACTTATAGGTGTGTTAATGAATCGAGTATGAGCGATCCCAAAGGCTTGTTCGTATTTGGCTAGTTTATTTAATAAACTATTCAAACACGAACTGTTCAACGAGCGAATACGAGTTATTTGCGAACAACAAACTTTTTTGACAGTTATCATGAGATAGAATTAATTTGTGTTATTTCTATAATATATATAAAAATTAATATTGAAATGATATAAATAAATATTATTATTTAATTATTTAATTTCAAAATTAGCTGAGCAAGAACAAATAAATCTGTATTTGTGATCATTATGTTAGCGAATTAAATACAAACTATTTTAAAATTTTAACGAACGCGAGCTGTTTGCGAACGATAAATCATTTTTACAGAGATAATTACATTCATACCACATTTATAAAATTTAAATAAATATATAATTTTCATTTTGTGAGGAATTCCATAAAACGCCCCGTTGCTTTTAACGCTCGGTGGAGGACGTCTTGAGAGAGAGAATGGTAGAAATGTATTGTCGGCCACTGAAATTCGTCCTGTCCTGAAAGTTTCCATAATGTACGCGGATGGAATGGCTCGCACGGCGCCTTCTGCTTCTCCGCGAAGTAATTTTAAATAAATATATAATTGTCATTTTGTGAGGAATTCCATAAAACGCCCCGTGGCTTTTAACGCTCGGTGGTGGACGTCTTGAGAGACATAGAATGGTAGAAATGTATTGTCGGCCACTGAAATTCGTCCTGTCTTGAAAGTTTCCATAATGTACGCGGATGGAATGGCTCGCACGGCGCCTTCTGCTTCTCCGCGAAGTGAACCCTAACGATCCCTGTGGAGTGATACGTTCTTGTTTCCATTCTTCTGCGCAGAAGACTGGTTTGATCTGCGGATGCAAGCGAAATTGTGCTCCGGGATTCAGTATCAGGTAAGCTTGGATCGTTTCAGGTTTTTTATTGCTTTTGATTTGATTTTGTTAGCTTTTTAGATTCTTTAGGGTTTGTACTGTAGGAATTTTGGGGCATTTCTGATTTTTTTTTTATTGAATTTATTTCATGGATCTTGTTAGCTGTTGTCTGTTGTGGTTTGCGGAATATATTTTGGCACGGAAGGCGTAGTGATCTGAAAATCTTTGTTGTTATTGTTTGTTCTGATCTAGGAGGAAATTGTGTTCTTTCTCCTGTTTGCAGAAAGTTTATGTGCTTTGTTGTTTGGATTCATCAACGGAAGATTGAAAACAATGGCTACGGCAACAATGGCCACCGCTGCAGGTGCGGCGGCTCTACTTTACTACACGCTGAACAAAAGATTACAGGCAGAAAAATCTCGGGATCATAAAGAGGGCGAAGATAGTGATGATGGATCTAGGAATGCTCCTGATGTGAACAGGATTTCTCGGAGGCCGGTGCAAGCACCAGCTACGTGGATGGAAACAATATCGACCTTGTCTGAGACCTTGAGGTTTACTTACTCTGAGACTCTGGGGAAATGGCCGATTGGAGATTTAGCTTTTGGGATCAATTTTCTTCTCAAGAGGCAGGTACACCCTTTAATTTGCTTGTCTTTAAGCAGGCATAGAGCTTTTAAGATGGAAATGTACTTATAGCTGTCTATTTTTATTGGGAAAAACCCTGAAGAGTTTGGTATAAACATAACCTACTCCGTTTGGTTTTCTTGACTAGAAAGAGGGGCATTTACATGCATAACACATAATTCTTATGTATTTACATATCTAACCCCCAAAGTTTGATATTTACATGCATACCACTCAAATCTTTAACATCACATAAAAAAGCATCACAATCACTACCTTTTTAAAATTAAAATACACTTTGTCATTCATTTGTTTATGACACCAAGGTGCTGTATGTGCAAATATCTAGGTTTGGGCTTTAGGCATGTAAATACAAATTTTTGTACATGTCTTATTTTGATATGGAATGGGAATTACACGGACATTGTTAGGCCTTTGATTAGATTAATTTTTTTTTTAAGTTTCTTATTGGATTCATATTTTGATCTGTATTAAAGAAAAGGAGTTGGTGCTAGAAAGGGGAATGGATGAATAGATATTGTAATATCGGTGGAAGCATTTTAACGAATTAAGATTACTAAACTGTTTTGAAATGGTAACGTAGTTGTTGTAATCTCTTTGAATATGGCGCACATCTCCATTTTTTTTATTCAAGGTTTTGTGACTCTTTACATGCATGTGTTGTGACTGCATTCTAACTTTTTTATGAGCACTAAGTGGAGTTAATTTTTTTCTGAAAAAAAAAGCTCCTCATTTTACCTTTTACAGGACACAAGTTGGAGTCTCTTGTTTTTTGAGTTGAACTATCCCTGATTATTTCTTATGATGAATATTCTTGCAGCATGCTGCTACTAGTTTGTCTTTTTTCACCAATTGATTTTTTATTTAACATGTTGAGTAGATGTACCTGAGGATTCCTATCCAAGTCGAGTGTCATGTTTGTTCATTGTCACCACCCCAAATGGAGTTACTTACAAGTTACAACCTAATGTTCCTTGGATATGCTTTTCTCTGTGTATGAGAGAGAGAGAAACTTCTGTTAAAATATATGATTTGTTCTAATATTGGAAAATGGAGTCTAATGGCTTTCGGTTGAGTAAATCTAAAATTGAATACATGGAATGTAATTTTAGTAGTAGTAGATCTAGTGGTAGAGTTGTAACTATGGGTGATCAAATCATTAAACGGTGTGATTGTTTTAGGTATCTCGGGTCTATTGTTCAAAGTGATGGTGATAGAGATGGGGATGTTATTAGTAGAACTCAAGTTGGTTGAAGTGGAGGAATGCATTGGGCCTATTGTGTGATAGAAAGGTATCGCCTAGACTTAAAGAAAAAATTTATAAGATGGTGGTGGGACCTACAATATTTTATGACACAGAATGTTGACCTTTAAAAGATAAGCATAAAACTAAGTTAAGTGTTGTTGAGATTAGAATGTTTAGGTGGATGAGTGGCTTGACACTTACAAACATAATGCAAAACAAATGTATGCGTGAAAGGGTTGGTGTAGCTCTAGTGGCAGATTGGAGAGAGTCGTCTTAAATGACTTGGCATATTAAACGTCAATTATCTGATGTTTCGGTTAAAAGAGTAGTTGTTTTGGATTCGACTTACGTTAAGAAAGACTAAGATATACCTAAAAAACTTGGGCATATTAATAGAAAATGATCTAAATTTATTAGAATTAAATGAAAATATGACACTCAATAGGACACAATAGAGAAAAATGATACTTAGTGGGATAAAGGCTTGTTGTTGTTGTTGTTCTAATATTGGAAAAGATATTTAGTGTAAGGAGCTCGGGATTACCAAAATAAAGACCGAGTATATGACATACAAATGTAGTTGTGAAATTGAGAATTGTTAGTCATTATTTCTATAAGGTTACTGAAGCCTAAATCTGATAGGTTTATTTATCTTGGATTTATTATTTAGAATAAATGGGATATTAAAAGAAAAGGAGATCTTGCGCTAGACTTGATGGTTAAAACCGAGAAGTAAATTTTAGTACTTTGTGATAAGAGAGCATCCATTATGAAATGTAATGTTAGACATATGTACAGCAATGGTATGCTAGATGAATCATAATATTACGTTATAAAGAAGTTATAGATAACTAAGTGGAGTATGTAGAAATGAGAAAAGTAAGCTGGATGAGTGGGAATACTAGGAAGGAAGTATGCGACGTATTGTGAGAGTTGGTCCCTATTGAAGGTAAGGAAGTAAAAAAGTAAATTTAAGTGATTTGAGCATTATACAAAGGAGGATAAGATACATCATTTAGACTGGCAGATAAAATTATTTTAGATTAATTAGGAAGGAAAGCCTTATTTAAAGGGTAACTATGGATAGATATTGTGTAAAAAAATTTTGTAGGACAGATTTAACAACTTAAACAACATTTAATAATAATGAATGGACAGATAATTCATAAAGATGGCCCTCTATAGTTGGGATTATGACTAATGATGATTATTAACAATATACTCTTTATTCAATCACAGCCCTCCAATTATATTTCAACCATGTGAATTACTTCTGCTTCTTCTATAATATAGGCAAGGAACTCATCGCAAAAGTATGCAATTTTCTTGTTTGTTAGATTCTGTGATGCAAAATATCATGCAATATCCTTTACATTTGTATCTAGTTTATTTGCAATGGAGGGGTCTTTTACTTCCAGTGGTTCACTTATGCGAGTCATTAGCTCATGATAAATCATGACATATTGGCATCATTTCATTTGCTTGCTAAAGCTTTTCTTGTCACCTTTTCCTCCTTCTCTTGCAGGGAAATTTAGATGTTTCTAGTATATACGCTGGAGATAATAGTGTACAACTTAAAGGACCAAAAATCACTGCTGAGCTAACATATCTCTTAAATTTGTTAACACTTTGTTGGCATTTTTCGAAGAAGCCATTCCCGTTATTTCTAGAGGCAACAGGTTACTCTCGCGAAGATGTTCTACTCCAGGAACCAAAAGCAGGGGTGAGTTCTATGCAGTAATTGTTTGAACTGATGAGTTCATCTTTAATCATGCCAGCCTTGAAAGTTTCTGTCACTGCTGACAATTTTTTTTTAAGATTTTAAAATAGTTTATTATAAGTCCTTATTCTAATGATTTTTTTGTTTAACATGGTTGCAGATTTTGAAGCCAGCTTTCACAATTTTAACTGACAGGGACACTAAGAGCATACTTCTACTCATTCGTGGAACGCATAGCATAAGGGATACTTTGACGGCTGCAACAGGGGCTATTGTACCATTTCATCATACTCTTGTACATAAAGGTGGTGTTAGTGATTTAGTTCTTGGTTATGCACACTGTGGAATGGTTGCGGCTGCTCGATGGATTGCGAAGATAGCAAATCCATGTCTTACAAAAGCATTGCATGATTATCCAGATTACCAGCTAAGGGTGACCAATGTTTTCCATATTTGCTACTCAAGTTTTTTTACGCCGAACTTGTAACTTTACTAGTACCAGATTTGATGAGATGAGAAGTTGAAAACTCTTTGCTTGCATTTTAGTTTCTTGTTTAGTGGCTTGTAGATTGTCCTTGTGGTTTTTCTTCTTTAATTTGTATTATACTTCACATTGCCTCAACTCAGCCAACTTGTTTTGCCTGTTTGTAAAGTTTTAAATAGTCACTTCACTCTTGTTGTGCCATGTTTATCTTTGTTTTTGCTAGTTAAAATAGTTTAATTTAGTTTAGCCATTTTTTTTTCCTCATTTTTATCTTGATTGAACTGTTTTAATTCAGTCTTTTTGTGTTTTCTTACTAACCTGTTCAGTAATAATTTTGGTTAGGTTGTCGGCCACTCACTCGGTGGAGGAACTGCAGCACTCCTGACATATATTTTACGCGAGCATCAGGAATTTGCAACTGCTTCTTGTGTTTCTTTTGCTCCAGGTTAGCTTTCATCAGACATTTTTTTATGAGAAGGCATACACGAATTGCACTCATTATTGTTCATACACCTCCTTATGTGTGTTGTGTGAATGAGTATGTATAGTAAGCTTCATTTTTATGGCCCCGAAGTAATAGTTTGGTCACTTTTATGCTACAATAATAGCCAATTTGCTAGATAGTACTGCAGATATGTACCAAATTTGGTGGAAGCGCCATGTAATCCTTCTCACACTTTTGAGGGTCCGTTTACTTTACAAAGCTGCCATCATAGCTGTCACCCCGTTCCTTTAATACACTTAGTTTTTCATTGGGTGTCTATTCTTCATCATCATCTCTAGCCTTTATTCCCAAGTAATTTGGTCGGTTTGGAATTCATTTCCATCTGTTTCATTTCTTATGAGAATTAACTTCCTGCAAAACCTGCGAACTACTAGAGGCAGCTGCTTTATCCTCTTCCATCAAGCAGTAGTGACTTTCTTCCCTTATTGACTCTTCGCAGACTGTCTATATACCTTTTTCCTTTTTTTCTTTCACCTTATACGAATTGAAAAGGCATCAGTTCTTCTTCTCCTCTGCTAATGACCAGTGTACTAGCGCTTTTCCTTGTCCTCTTGCCTATTTAAAATGGTAGTTCCTTGGAAAGTGGCTCCAACTACCAAGTCCATTTAGGAGGAGGTTTCTTATCATATATCTTTATTTGATTGCAAGGCAATTTATGTGTAAGGAAAGCATGCAGTTTTATATAGAACTTAACATTTTTCTTAGGAACTAATTTCTAACGTTATTACGAAATCATACATGCGTTTATTCTTTTTTTTTTTTTTTTTTGGTTTGGATTCGTTATGTATGCTTGTCCACAGGGCGAACTAGCATCAATAGGGCATTCTGGCATTGCATTGATAAATCTACCTGTTGGCCTTGTTATTATGTTTGCCATCAGTGTCAGTGGTATTTTTTCAATTCAATGGTCTTGCCTTCCTTTGTAAGTTGATGCTTATAAATTTTGTCGATACACACCACGTACTTTTCATGTAGGTTTGAGCTATCAAAGATGACTTAATAAATGTCAAGTGGAACCATCTTGCATGTCGTTTCATTTGTGTAATTCTTGTGAGTGCAAGCTTCAAGTGAGAAATGCAAACAATCTTCATTTATGGTTGCTTCTAAATCTAACCTAAAGTGTAGGGATTGAGATAGGGTATGTTCCTAATGTCTGCACAAGGTTGGCTGAAATAAGATTCTTTTGGCTGTTTGTGTCGATAATGTCGTTGGACTCCTCTTGCTAGAATTGTATCCTTATAGTGAATAAATTTTTTTTTTATATCCTGAACGGAGGGTAACTTTGCCACCATATCCTTCAATATTGCCATAAAAATAAAGACTGTTCCAACCTGCCCATCGAGAACTGAGCATGTTATTCATCAGAACAAATATTTGTTTTTCAATTCTTTTGTATTTAAGACAAATGTTAAATTTTAAATTTTTCCAAAATTTTTTATGTGGTATATATGCGAGACATTGATCATAAAACTTGCCATATATATATATTGATTTTATGAGAGGAATAATCATCAGTTGTCCTTTTTTCCCTTTTTTTTCTTTTGAAGATTATTCTCTTCAGATGATTCCGAGTCTTTTCTATTTTACATTGGTTCTCATACTTTATGGTCATCATAATCATGCTTTTATTGGCTGAGACTAGTGATTAGGAATTAGCGGATCTGGTATGCAATTTGAAAATAACATGGAAGGTGTACTTCATTATTGTTTGTTTCTCTCCAAAATTTATTCCTAAGGTAATTGATTGTTATCTTAGCTCCATGGTTTACACTTATAAAGATTATTTTTTGTGTTTTCACAAATTGTCACTTTCCATTAGTTTTTTACATAGCCCATTGGTAAAACTTTTGATGTATTAGCTGTTGAAAGATATTCGTGGTTGCCTCTTCATGACCTTTCATATTCAGGCTTGCATTCCACTGCACTAAAGCATGACAATTGAACTTCAGCTAGGTAAAGATAATCTTATCTTGGTGCCATACCCATATAAAAGACAGTAAATCTCCAACTGATCAATCCATGCATTAAGCTTATCAGCATCAACTATTCATTACATGAAGAAATCTTCACGTTGGCTTCTATTTTAAATGGTTGCATCTCTTTTTCATGAGTGATTATAAGGTTGAAAACGTGCAATTGGGTAGTGAGGCATTCTCCTTTCATGAGGTGAGGCTTAAGCTTCGACGTGTAAGCCTCAGGATTAAACCAGTAAATTTATGAAAATTATGAAATAATAACATACTAATGTTTAAATAAGATATCTAAGGTCATAGAAGTTAAAATATGACCATTAAGGGTCATGCAGTCCAACCATATTTGCCTGAGAGGAGGAAGATTTTGACTTAAGGGTGTTTGCATTCTCATCTACTCAAAGATTAGAAATGACTCTTCATCGTCTTTGTATTATTTTTTTTTTAAGTTTTGCACCTTGCATTAAGGATTTTTTTCTGTGATTGCCAACCTCTTAATGTTATTGTGGAAGCCCAGAATGTAAGGCTGGAATGGCTAAAAACATTTTAGGGACTTCTTAAATGATTCCCTTCTGACATCTTTCTGCCTCATTTGGACTCTTCCTTGTTGCGGACGGAATGAAAAATTGCAGCCTTTTTCTTTTCTTTTTTTATCTTGCGCCACATCACACCCCCCCCCACCCCCTTCTGACATCTTTCTCCCTCATTTGGACTCTTCCTTGTTGCGGACGGAATGAAAAATTGCAGCCTTCTTCTTTTCTTTTTTTATCTTGCGCCACATCTTGGTTTTTTTCTAGAAAATTTAGGGTACATTTAATTTTGAAAGGAACTAATCGTTCTAGATTGACTCAACTTCTATCAAATAACTCTTATTCAAATCTCTAGTTACTTGTATGATAATTCAACTAGTTAAATAGATTAAATTTCTGAAAATTTAAAATAAATCTGCATGATAACACTATAAATATAATGAATTGATTTTGGCTGTCTAAACTTTGCCGAACTTTTATCTATTACATTCCTTGCTCAAAAAATGCTCTACTTTGGAGCACATCTCATGTGTTATTGGGTGCAAGAATACCCTTGCCACTGCCAGGTCACATTCAAGGGCTAGGGAGAGCCTATTTTGCCACAACCCAGCTAAGGAAATAGGGAATGGCAGGCTGTTTACCTGCTGAATTTGTCTTCCAACGGTGATGAAACCAGATTTTGCAGTAGGAATAACAAGTAAAAGAATGAAAAGGGAATGAGATGGAACAACTTTGACTTGGCGCTTGCTAGAAGCCTGAACCTCAATATGGGACGATGCCACAAATTAACTATGGCTGTTTGATTCATTAGTTAGGGATTTTCGTGGAATAACTCCAAAAATGTGAAAACAACATGTTTTTGAAACCAACTAATTCTGCCATCTATTATTACCACTTGCCTTTAAATAGGCTATTCAACATATTACAAATTAACATATTTCCTAACCTACCCTTCAAGGTAACTCAAGCATAAGAGCTTGTTTGATGAACTGCCAACTATTTTTTTAATCAATTTTCAACTTGGAAATATTGCATTTCAATCTTGATTTATGAGATCTTCATGAATTAGCTTGCATTCATGATTCTCAAATGAGCTAAAAAAGGGCATGTTATCATCTCTTGGAGTAAGCTTTTGTGATTAGTTCCACAGGTAGCCGCATAGAGTCTGAATCTCTCTTGTTCTAAAACTTCTCTACACTAGTCTTTTTTCCATAATGTCCCTATAGAATTTACTCATAAATTATCTTTGGGAGTCTATTCAAGAGTATTCCTTAATTATATGCTTGATTGTTTTTGTCGGTTATCTCTTTGGATTGTGTTTTGCTGATCTATGGATTGAGCAAGCTATTTGACCGAGTATTATAAGTAGAATCGGTATTTTTGTTTCAATATACTTGATTGGGCCCCATATAACTTTATTCATACAACTTATTCCCGGTAAGAGCCTAAACTAGTCTCCCGATTATTAGGAATTGACTAATTTTTTCCCAGAGTTTTTTAATACTCCAATTTAGTTTTAGCTATTAAAATTATTCCGGATTAGTCCTGAATCAAATTTTATGTTTAACTTAACAACGACTTTCACAAATTTAAGGGTAAATTTGTCTATTTACAATCTTCACAAATTAAACACCATGGACTTCTGATACTGATTTCAAAATAACAATTTTTTGTTGAAATTCAAAGGTTTTACAAACGACACTAGAAAACAAGAAATGCAACGACACAAACACAAGATCTCTCTAGGGCTAGGATTGAAGGTGGTGGGCTGCGTGTAGAGTTGGTGTATGGAAGGTTGGAGGGGGTAGGGTGGCTTACGGTGGAAGGTTGTCGTGATTAGTGGAAAATGTTGTTGGATGGTGGTGGTGGCAGCAAGAGCGGTGATGGGAGGTGCAGTTGAGTTGATAGAGGGAGGGGTGATAGCTAAGGATGGTAGGTTCTGTTGGGAGGGGGAAAGTTAGGTGCTGCTGGACTGGAGGAAGGAACAAGAAAGTTGTGGCTGGAGATGAAGATAGGGGTGGGCGGCTTGCAGGGAAACAGTTACAGTGCTGTCTTTGGGTTGGTTACAATAAATACGGCGGCGGTGGCAGTGGTAGGGTTGCGGGAGAGTGGGAAGGTTGAGGATAACCACCACTTCAGGCGAGATATAACTGAAGCATCACTCATTGTCAAATATATCTCTAGAAGGAAAAAACAGCTGCCTACGACAAACTAGATAGAAACATGAAAACAAGTAATGCCCTAGAACAAGTAGAAATAACATATACTTATACTAGGTAAAATTGGAGGGCCCCACCCACTTGGGAGGCAAACCTCAAACCCTAGGAATACCGACCGCCCCTCCTAATCCCACCCTGAACCAATTGAACCAATTGAACCAATTCAAGTGGACAGTCCCGTATCAACTTCACTGCTCCAATTCGCCAGAGGATTCTTACACAAAAATAGCCTAGCTCTAAACCTTTATTGCTCCTCCTAATCCCACCCTGAACCAATTGAACCAATTCAAGTGGACAACCCCGTATCAACTTCACTGCTCCAATTCGCCAGAGGATTCTTACACAAAAATAGCCTAATTCTTACACAAAAATAGCCTAGCCCGTATCAACTTCACTGCTCCAATTCGCCAGAGGATTCTTACACAAAAATAGCCTAGCCCTAAACCTTTGTTGCTCCTCCAATCGCATGGCTTCTCTGCTTCTGTTTCACTATCGCAGAGCACATGTCTCCAGAATTTTCGTTGCTCCACTCAACGGAGCAATATTCATCTCTTTCCCAATCTCGATCTTCATCTGTGGTGCTTGTGCGGACAGGCTTTGCCTCCATCCGCACGTTTGCGCATCCTCCTCGACGATAGTGAGGTGACATCAACCTTCGAATGGAGGAGCAGTGAAGGGAGTATGCTGTCGATGACTTAAGGTCTTAAGGTCAAAGCCTGCTCTGTCAACGCAAGCACCACAGATGGGAGACGGAGATGAAGGCAGCACCGTCGAGTGAGGTAGTAACGAAGGGAGTGCATGTTTTGAGTCATGTGCTTTGTCAACGGTGAAATAGAACCAGAGAAGCTGCTCGAGTGGAGGAGCAATGAAGCTTTAGATCGAGGTTATTTTTCTGTAAGAATTCTTCAGTGAATTGGAGCAATGAAGTACATGGCGAGTTTAATTCCTAAAGATTGTAAAGATGGATTTACCCTTAAATTTGTGAAAGCCATTTTTAAATTAAATGGAAAATTTGATTTTGGATCATTTCAAAACAACTTTTATAGTATGAGATTAAATTGCATCATTTTAAAATTCTAAGATTAAATTGGTCGTTTCTTAGTAGTTGGTGGACTATTTTGGGCTTTTACTCGACTCATTCCGGACTTTGTTACCTAAGTCATCCAAAAGAACATGCCATCTTCATTCTTTAGTAAATGTTGCAAATTGCAATTTATGAAGTACAAACACTTCAAAAATTTTATGTTTGTGCCAACTACTTATCATGCGTGGTACCTTTTTGATTTGTCTTTAGAGTGTGTGCTATGATGAAAATCTTATTGTATTGTTTTTCAAAATTAGAGTCAAATAATACACCCTTACATTACCAGTAGTCCGGGGCATACATCAACATGTTCTATTTACCTTTGTTTAAATGATGAAGATGTATATGGTTCTTCTGTTCTAAGCTCACATACTGAATGGATTTGTTTCAATATTGTTTTTTGTTTGGTTTTTACTTGTTCTTTTATTCCTTTCCTTTTGTTAGGCAAACGTTAAACATTTGGCGAACCTATTAATAGTTCAAAAATAAATGTTGATGCTCACTCCTTTAACATGCATGGTATTTATGTGAGAATCAGAGTGTCAACCATGATAATTTTCACATAAAATGCAAGTCGTCGGGTTTGTAAGTAAACTTATAAATGCAACATAAGTCCAGACCGGCCTAAAAGAGGTACTTTGAAGCATGCTGGTTTAATTGAAGGAGTTTTGCTCAAGGGATTGGCTTTCATCTTTAAGACAAATGTTTTTTAGCAGTTTAGAGGACTGTCATAGAAAATGTTTAATCTAATGAAGAACATGTAGTTATAAAGCCATTTTCATAGCAATTCTATGAAAATTATATCAACTTTATTATCTTAGAAAATTAATTATAGATCTTCATAACGCCATTTATATTTATATCTGTGAACCTACTATTAAGTTGCTGTGTTTGCTAACTTGGCATATTCATTACAAGTTGCGATTATTCACTAACTTAGAATTTATTGTACATGCAGCTGCATGTATGAGCTGGGACTTGGCAGAGTCGGGTACACACTTCGTTACGTCAGTTATTAATGGAGCTGACTTGGTTCCTACGTTCTCGGCAGCTTCAGTGGATGACTTGCGTTCTGAGGTTTGTATTTGAAGCCCTCCTTTTTTTTGGGGCATTACATACATAACACATAATTCTTATGTATGTACATATCCAGGACCTATGCATTCATATTTACATGCATAAAAATTCCACCATCACTATCTTTTTAGTAGTGAAATACTTCTTTTCAGACATAGGCTAGGCATAAGTATAAACATCAAATTTTGGATCTTAGATATGTAAATACATAAGAATTGTGTGGCATATATGTAAATTCCCCCCTTTTTTTTGGAGCTTAGAGAGCCAATGCACAATTCACACACACCACATTATGCTAGTTTCGAACCCGGACTCCAAGGAGGGGTATAAATAAACCTAATTTTTGGCATACTGAGTTAATTCATATTTAGAGTTCCTGACGCATGGTTACTTTTGGAGCTTCATTTTCATATTGAATTAATGTTAGATTGTTTAGTCAAAAGTTTTAAGGGCTGTTTCGTTTGTTGAAGAAAGAATGTAAAGGAGATGTACTATATTTGGAATACTATATTTGGAATACTTTGGAGTTGTTTGTTTCGATGTAAAATAAATATAGGAGTTTATATTTTTATGTTTGGTTTGAATAAAAATAAATTCAATTTAAAATACACCTATCAATGGCGATAGGCGGACAACACTTTACACAAAATGGTGCATTTGAAATTCACTCAAATCCAGTGGATTCCAAATACATTGAAATTGAATTAGAGAATTGAATTTCTAAGACATTATAATTTTGCACTGCTTTTGAAATTCTTCCAACCAAATGTCTAGATTTCCAAAACCCATGCAAAAGAGCTATAATACACTTCTCGCCGACCAAGCAGCCCCTTAGCAGTTTTACAATGCAAGAGTAGTTAACTGCAGAAAAATGAGTTTGGATTTTTCATTTTTTATCTATTTGTATCTTCTATCAAATTTTCTGGTTCTGCTTCTGTCGTCAGTTAATACACAAGCTCCAGTTTACAGTTCTGCATCTACAAAAATACATGTTATCTTTTCTGAATATTTACAAAAATACATGTTATCTTTCTGAATATTTATTTTAAATTGCGTTTAATAGGTCACTGCATCAGCATGGCTAAATGATCTAAGAAGTCAAATAGAGCAAACAAGAATATTGAGTACGGTCTATCGCTCTGCTTCTGCTCTCGGCTCTCGAATATCATCAATTGCTAATGCTAGAGCAAGAGTAGCTGGTGCCGGTTCAATTCTTCGTCCTGTTTCGAATGGAACTCAGGTTTGTTTCTTAATTTTTAGCATGATATTTCTTAAAATTAAAATCTAAATATTTGCAACTAGGGGCATTTACATGCATTCCCACAATTCTTATATATTTACTTCTCTAACACATGAGATCTTATATTTACATGCATGGCACTCAAATCCTTAATATCAAAATTTAAAAAAACCACTTTTTTTAAAAAGAAATACTTTTTCTCATGCGTAGTTTTGTGACACAAAAGTGTTATAAATGTAAATATAAATGTTTAGGTGTTAAATATGTAAACAGATATGAATGGTGTGGTATGCATGCTAATTTCCCCAAGGCCAATAAATGATTTCAGTAATATACAGTTGGGGCACTTACATGCATACCCCACCCAATTGCCACCAAACTTCACTTCCTACATTTATATCATCCAAATCTTTTACCTCACATCAAAATTACTATCATTTTAACCTTTAAAATGTGAAATACACCTTTTTCATGCATAGGCAAGATGGCATACATGTAAAAATTGAAGCTTAGATGCTAAATATGTAAATACATAGGAAGTGATATGTATGTAAATCCTCATGTACAGTTTTGGAATGCAGTACTATTGCGGCAATTAGTAATTTCAGCTCTCTAAAAGCCAGGGGAAGTTGGCTGATACTTGAAATTTAACGCATCATTCCAAATTTTGGATCTAACTTCTTATCCATTTTTTCTCATGAAAAAAAAAAATCTCATAGGTCGTGATGAAGAGAGCTCGTAATGTGGCCCAGGCTGCTTGGACTAGTCAATCCCTACGAATAACCTCATGGTCGTGTATGGGTCCCCGTCGCCGGCAGAGCGCCACCATGTCCGTCTCCACCTCAAGACTAGATGAACCTGGGACCAACTCCACCACAGCAGCTGAGACAGTGGATCCTTGTCTGACCTCAAACAATACCTTCATGGAGACGAGAACCGAGATAATGACAGCCCAAATTGACGATGCTGTTGAGGCTGAGATTGACGAGGACGACCTCATAGGCCTCGCACGGAATGAGGAAGATAGCATGACCGAGGCCGAGCTTTGGCAACAGCTCGAGAGCGAGATCTACAGAGGAAGTGTGGGTGAGGAGGCTGACGTCGTGAGGGAGATAAGGGAAGAAGAAGTCGCTGCCGTTGCGGAGGTGGCGGAGGCAAGCGAATCAGATAGCTTACTTCCCGTAGTTACAACCGAAGTCCATCGATTCTTTCCTCCGGGGAGAATAATTCACATCGTGACGTTTAATCCAAATGATAGATCACCTGAGGAGGAGGTAGGCGACACTGTTGATTATGAATTTCGAGAGGAGAAGGCAAATATTAGGGTTTTTGAGACCCCGAGATCACTCTATGGAAAGTTAAGGCTTTCGCAGGCAATGATAAATGATCACTATATGCCAATATATAGGAGGAATATGGAGAGGTTAATTAATGAGCTTGTGAAGGAAGAAGATTCACAAGAGGAATCTCATTACAAGGATAGATCTTTATAGAGAAGAAAATTGCTTCATTAGTTATAAAATAGGCAAGCAGATTGCTCCATTAACTAAAAAATAGGGCTTTGATGTAGATTTGTGCATGTATAAATATGTTGCTTTACATGATGTTCTGTGTCTGATGGTTTCCTTCTATTATTACTATTATTATTTTTTTTTAACTTTTGCTTGTAATACTGTATATTCATGGGAACTGATGGGCTGACAAATTTTAATTAGCACTGCCTGAGAATGAAATATATGAAATCTGGCATGGATTCTTCAATCATGGCCTCCCCCTTATTTTGAGGAGGCATTTTCATGCATACCATGCAATCCCTATTTATTCGCTTATCTAATACCTAAATTTTACTTTTTTTTACATTATTATCCTACCCAAAAATTCAACTAATGTCTTATTTTTAAGGTTTATTGGCTTTGTAGGTCTGACTATTGCAGTAGAAAATGTTTTAAGAATGTTGTTAGAGCTTGGGAGGACTGGAATGCTCACCCTCCATTGATCATTTAAATAAGGGCTAAAATGATTTATCATTTAAAAATTGATAAATTATTTCAGCTAATATTTAAAAAATTAGGGAACTCAATAAACATTTCATAAGCTCTAGTGTAAAATGATATGATCATTTTAGCATTTCTCTCAGCCTGAATGTTGATGCATACATAATAAAAAAATAGCAAATTATTTATTGAGAATTTTTTTGTTCATGATATTGCAATCCAGACAAACAATGAGAACATAATGGTAAAACCATCAGAAAGACATCCAATAAAATTAAACACTAAATCACACCTAAAATCATCTTCTTCACTTCACCTGCAAATATCCAATTCATGTTCTGCATTATGCACCATCAATATATGACCACCCAGCACTAAAACACGCTCGCCTTTCTCATTCGCAGAGCTCATCTGCCCGCAAAGATCTACCAAAATTTCAACAGTGGCGACGCCATTACCGGCAATGAAAACGCGTTTGAACCCAACCAGTTGCCTCCTTGGCGACCCTCTAATCCTTGCAACAGATCTGTCAAACAACAACACAGCATGGCTTCCATCCATATCTCCATTGTTCGCCACTGAGATCTTCACACTGAACTTCAAGTCCTCACATGGTGTTCTCTCATCAATGTGGAGATAATCAATCTCCTCATTCATGAGAGCTTTGGTAGAGGAATTCTTCAATCTTATTCTGGTTGGAGCTGATAAGAATTTGTAGGTGTAGTTGGAGTAGCTTAAGCCATAACCAAACTCATAAACAGCCGTTCCGGTGTAGAATCGATAGGTTCGGCCCGGGTAATCCCTCGAAGGATCGGCTCTCATGTTCATGTCGTTCATCGGAACGACGGTGAAAGATTCGGGGTACCAAGTCACCGGCAACCGCCCGCCTGCACCCCACATTTCATAAGAAAATAAATCAAAAGCTTTTTACAAGATAAGGGATTGTTAGGTTTGAGATTCATGAATTGTCTATAATATTGTTGAATTATCGGTGAATATAAGTATTGCATATGGATTTAGGATGGATATTTATAAAGGGGCATATAGATGCAAACCACAGTTCCTATGTATTTATATATCTAACATCTAAACTTTACATTTTAAAATTTATATCACCAAATATTTCATATAACAACAAAAGTATCACTATTTTAACTTTTAAGAAGTGAAATGCACCTTTTCATGCATCGGTAAGTTGGCATATATGTAAAAAATTGAGATTTTGGTGTTATATATGCAAATTCATAAGAATTAAGTGGTTGGTATGCATGCACATCTCCCACTATAAAAATAGCTCACAAGTTTTATACAAGACGAGGGGTTGCTAGGTACAAGATTCATAGACTAGTCTAATTATTGTTCAATTTTGGAATTGCATGTGTTCTGTTTATTCCAGTATGGTTTGATTCAAGGCTATTGCTCGTCCCGGGTTTGGTTCAACCCTAATAGAGTGTTTAAGGTTACACCAAACTTTGGGTTACAATTCTAATTACATACTTAGGTTCTATCATACCCATCTAAAATTGTGTGGGTTTTCTATGTGAGAGTTGGGTCCAATCTAAGTAGCGCACAAAGGGTGGATATTTATAAAATGACACGTGTCACCTATAAATGAGTTCTTTAAAGTATTATTAAAAGATAGAAAGTTGTTGATGACATATAAAAAAGATGGAACTCTATTTATAAAAAGATATTAAAACATTAATGGGATAAATTACAATATTTTATTCATAGAAGAAATTAAGTGGCCATGTGACACATCTTGATGCGATTAGGATGTCCTAATCCTAATATTGTTTTTGGAAGATTTACATGCATATCACTCAACTCCTATGAATTTACACATCTAACACCAAAGCTTCAATTTTTTATATATAAGCCATCTTACCTATGCATGCAAAAGGTTAAAATAGTGGTTTTTAAGGGATATGAAAGATTTGGTTGGTATAAATATAAGTCAATCATACACCAAAATCCCCTCCTTCCATTTATTTCTTAGAATTAGCACATCTTCATTGATTGATCCAAATTACTCCTAATCCCATTCAAACATGTAAAGATTACTCTGTTGTCATCTTAAACATAATTAAGGTTATATGATAAGGTAAAGAATAATTAATTAACATTCAATAATCAAACTAAAAACTTGCAGAAAACTACGAAGAATGAGCAACAGGTACTAACCAGGATTAAAATCACCAAAGAGAGCCTCTGCAAGCACCTGCCCTCCGACTTCACCAGGATATCCAATCCATATAATGGCGCCAATCATGGAATCATCTTTCGCAAAGGAAACATCAAGAGGACCTCCTCCCATAAGCACCAGTATCACAGGCTTCTTGCTTGCAGAGGTAACAGCACGAACGAGCTCCTCCTGCTTCCCTGGAAGCAGCAAGCTCACCCTATCATGGTCCTCGGTTTCTTCCGTAAGATTCAGACCCACAATCACAACGACAACTTCCGCCGCTTGTGCCACTTGAACCGCCTCTTTCAATCCGTCCGCAATCACGCAGGAGGTGTTGGCACAGCCGGCGGCGAAAGCGGTGTCCGGCACGAACTCTCTCAGCCCATCAAGCAACGTCTTGGGATCGCAGGGAACGCCGCTGTAGCCGCCGCCCAGAACCTCTGATCTGTTTCCAGCAGGACCAATCAAAGCCATGGAAGCTACATTGCTCCTTCTTAATGGCAGAAACCCTAACTCATTCTTCAGAAGAACCACACCCTGTTTCACAGCTTCGACAGCTAGTTGCCTGTGTTCTTTAGTGCACACATCGCCAGCTCCAAGTTCCCCGTACTTCTGTTTCGCCGGATCTCCGTCGAAAAGCTTGAGCCGGAAGAGAACAGAGAACAGATTGAGTAGTGCTCGGTCGATCTCCTCCTCCTTCACCTTTCCAAGCTTTACGGCTGATTCAGTATGATTGAGCAAATATTTGCCGCAATTGATATCCATCCCTTGGTAGATTTTACAACACGGAAAAGCAATTCAGAGGTAGCAGCTCTGATCCCAAACAGCACAAATTACCAGTAACATAACACAAAATCTGGCCTACCAGCTTTTAGAACATCAGCAACTGCATCTTCCGGCGATGGAGCGTATTTCTGATCCTCGAAAATTATCGCCACCGCATCACAGTCCGAAGTGACATATCTACAAACAGAAAACAGGCATTCATCATTGAAATCATATTCGCAAACCATACCGACAAGAAGAACAAGAATTACCCCTCAAATCCCCATTGTTGTCTTATTTCCGTCAGCAGATCTCCGCGAGCGCAGGACGGGACGCCATTAACTTGGTTATACGAACACATCAAGCAACTAGCGCCGCCTTCTCTGATGCAGCTCCGGAACGGTGGCTGGAACGTATCCTCCATGTCTTGATCGGAAACCTAAACACACGAAATACAATGCTCAATCAAACCTTCATAACAAACTAAATAGAAACAGTGAAATCTTCTCAAAACCTGCGCGTCAAATGTGTATCTCGTGAAGTTCTTCCACTTCTCCAAATCATAAGCCGTATGATGCTTGCAACAAGCGGACAGCATCATCAATCCACGATCGCCGCTCAATTCCCCCAACACCATCCTCCTTCCTCCGGTCAAAAACGAATTATTCGGATTCCATCCCGACTGAGACTGGAAACTAGAGACGTAATCAGCAGCGTAAAATGAAGCCACCATGGGATCTTCACCAGGTGTTTCCTGGCCGCGCCCCCACCTAGGGTCCCGGAAGATGTTGATGTTCGGAGCCCAAAACGTGAGCCCTGCTTGCTCAGCGTTGTACATCGAGCGAGCCTCAACGGCAATGGCGCGAGCTAGGGCTCGCCACAGTGTGCGATTGAAGGAGGCGGCGGAGAGGATGACTTGGGGGAAAACGGTAGCGGTGGAGATGGAGCCGTTGAAGCGCACGCCGGGGCCATTCCCGGCGAGGCCGTGGAGGGATTCGGACCACCACTCGTAGGGAGGGATGCCGAGACGTGGGACGGCGGCGGCGGTGTTGGAGAGCTGCTGGATCTTCTCTTGGAGGGTGAGGAGGGAGATGAGGGAGCGAGAGCGGTCGGGAATGGGGAGGGAGGTGTTGCAGAATGAGAAGGAGTTGAAGTGCGGGGGCTTGCAGGGGTAGTTAGAGCGAGCTCCGGCGGTGGGGAGGACGGAGAAGAGAAGGAGGAGGAGGTGGTGGTGGAGTGATAGGGTTAGTGGTCTGCCTGTTTGGCAGAGTGGCGGCTCCATTGTTGGGACACGAGGGAGAGCTCTACAGTATCAAACAAATATTGCATCACGACTGCACAAGTGGGGAGTTCAGTGAGGTGGAAAAAAAAGAATTGATCCACTAATACTAGTAAATATTTTTCTGTTGTTAGTATATGTTATTCATGTGTTATTATATGTTATTCAGGTGTCATATATTATTCATGTGTTATTATATGCTATTCAGGTGTTATTATATTTTAATAATATTTTTGGTGTTATAATAACACAATGACACACAATAATACCTGAATAATACACAATAACATCTGAATAACACAGGAGAAATATTCTCTTGTGTTACCGGGAAGATTTAATTTTTTTTCTGGTATAATTTCATTGGACTCCGCACGTAACTCTACGTGCGGAGTCCTGATGCAATATTTTCTCATTAATTTATAGAGTTGCAGAATTGTTAAGGGATTATTAAAAAATATAAACATAACACATGATTTTTCTTGTATTTAGATAAGTAAAACATAAAGTTTAATATTTATAATCATGACACTCAAAATCTTTGACATTATATAAAAAATATCATTTTTATTAATTTTTTAAAGGCAAAATTCCTATTTTTTTTTTGCATTGATTTATAGCATAAATGTGATTTAAATATAAATATCAAATTTAAGGTGTTACATATAAATTCATAAAAATTATGTGCTACTTTTTTAAATTTCTCTTAAACAATAGAAAGGCTCCTTTTTTTTTTTTTTTTTCAATTATCACTTATATTTTAAAATGACTAGTGAATTGATTTTCTATTATTATTGAATATCAAATGTATGAAAGAATTTCATTGAAAGCTAATTCATATAGTAAAATATTTGGAGATGTGGTTTTCTTGTTGAATTTTTTTATTATTAATATTGTTGCAATGGATCAGATTTATTAGATTAATTAATTCATGTTTTTGTCAATAATATCAGCTCACGTGTCAGCAGTTGGATATATTACAACATCCACATTTTTAATATTTCAAAGTTAAATTTTCTAAAGAATCAAGTGAATTTTGTTAGGAGCCAATAATAAGTATAATCGTGCTCATAAGCAATGATGTTATTTTTGTACTTTTATCATCCTATCATCTATAAATAGAATGTCCTTTTTTCATATATGGGGAGTCAAGTCATTTGGGCTCTCCAGCCATTTAGGCATCACTCTCCCCTCCTCTTGTAACAACTTCTTTTAATATATAAAATCGGTCCAAGAGTCTGAGGAAGACCACTGCAACATGATGATCTATATATTTATGTATATTAAATCTACTAAGAAGTTCTATGTGTAAGCCCGCTTGTATGGCACAAAAAAAAGGTACAAAAGTGTAAAGTTCAAATTTTAGTTAAGGGAGGCATTCCATCCTATATGTAAGGTAAATATAATCTCAACATTTAATGAAGTTTGTCAAAAAGACTTTCAATCATAGACCAAGACTACCTTGGATTACGATTCTTATGTGATCTTTATCCTATAAAACCTCCATCAAGATCAAACCTACCACACATAATTGAATCATCGAGTGTATTTTGATTTGTCTTTGGCGTGTCATGTTCACTTACTCTTCAACATCTTCGCACACCACGAATGAGTTGAACATGTTTTTATTAAACTAAGAGTCTATTTGAGGCACCTGCAACTTATTCAATAATGTATTGATAAGCATCTGATCCTGATAAAATGCTTATCAACAGCTTATCCGAATAAGTTAGCTAGCTGTTTAATTTGTGTTGTTTGAAAACAACTAATTTGCAGTATTTTACATGTTTTTATTAAATTAAGAGTCTATTTGAGGCACCTGCAATTTATTGAATAATGTATTGATAAGCATCTGATCCCGATAAACTGCTGATCAACAACTTATCCGAATAAGTTAGCTAGCTGTTTGGTTTGTGTTGTTTGAAAACAACTAATTTGCAGTATTTCTGGATAAATAATCATTCTGCCTCCTATGCAATAATGTTGTTTGCAACAGAACAGTCATAGCAATATATTTGATACTGGCTAACAAAAATAATATTAATGTGCAGTAAAATCCAATGAAAAATCACTTAAAAAACAAAAGTTTCAATTAATACATCATAAATAAATAAATAAATAAAAATTTCCAATAACCTTACACATTAAAATATGACAAAAACAACAAAAGTGCAAAACTCTTAACAGAGTTCTAATGAATTATATAGCATATAAAGCGCAGTAGATGATATTAATGAAACATTCTCAAAGGAGCTCTCAACATCAAAGCATACATACAATTTATTACTAATCATTTTGAATGAAAATGTCAGAGAATCATCTTTAAATATTGTGAATCATCAATATATATTTTCAATTAAGAATGAAAATTGTAAGCAACAAGGATTTCAATAAACACTGCCTGAACTTAACTTTGCTCAACTGAAGTTCAAAGTCTAAGCATTTTAACTATAATTTATTTCCTTAAAAACAGTCAAGAAGGTCAAATCAAACAACATTTGTTGATCATTTCTATTTCCCTGTCAAGTATTAGACACAGCACTATACTCAAGATTCTGCAGATGAAGCTTCGTCATCCTTATCGTTCACCATGCCTGCATCAGCCAGAATTGGCACCTCTGCTGCCAACCATGGTGCAAGACCCAAACACAAAGCATGAGCGATTACAAATCGGGGACTGTTTCCATGAAAAATCTCTGTTAGAACGAAGCAAAACGATAATAGGAACACAATAATCTCCACAAACCAACCAAGGTTGATAGAAAAAAGGCAGCTCATTTACCAATTCTCGGCCCAAAGGGGCTTGAAATGTGCTGTTAGGCAGATTTTTCCTCCCCTATACATCTGATCAAACATAAACACAGATGCACACATGTCAAGTACCAAAAATAAAAGCAAATCAAAGTAAGAGAAAGCCGAGAAACCTTATGAAGCTTTCCATCGAGGTCGAGGAGCTCGATCTCAGGGGCTGTAGCGGGATAGTTTACATGGGTGTCGAATTGGAGGTGGAACTCGTAGCGTTGGAGATTGTGGACAACCCAGCAGAATCCCGTCCATCGGGTGGGCTCGGGATTTTCGGCGGAGATCTGGAACCAATTAGTGTCAATGAATTTGTTCATCGAAGTGTACGCATTAGGGCTCGGTACTCCTCCTTCAAGCGTTGAGTCCATGTCGCGCCGTCGTGGGGTTCGGCTCGAGTAGAGAGCAGAGCGATCTGCGTGAAGGATGACTTTGGGTCTATTTGGGGCAGCTGCAGCTTATTCAGCTTATGCTGATGAGTAGCTGATCTGGATAAGCCGGCTGACTGTTTGGTTTGTGCGTTTGAAAAATAGTTGATTCTGGATAAATGACCATTCTGCTTCTGTTTTGGATAAGTTATTTAGTTGTTTGTTGTGTTCATTTTGTAAAAAACTGATAAAAAAACTACTAAGGAAAAGAGGGGGTAAGCGGGAGATGTATTGTGATGAACAACTATAGTGAGAGAGATAGGTTGAGCTTTTTTATTGTGGGAAAAGAGAATAGCCAAGATCAGACCATATAAGAAGAGAAAAATGTTGAGTGATTTATCTTCGATTAACTAGAATTCACATGAATAGAGTATCTGGGGCAAGCTATAATGGGTAAGAGGAAAATACTAACTATAAAACAAGAAAACTAAAATAATTCTTCTAGTAGCTTACTATGTGTACATTCACACAAGCTTAACATACATGAAATTTTTCATGCTTATTCTTATGCCTATACCCTCTTGGATCAATAGCAATCTCTTAAATGATCTTCTTGAAATAAAAATAACCTTTCTCTGAATGATAAATACTTCATATTGATGCTTTAAAAGAATTCTGATCTCTTAAATAACAATCTCTTAAATAACCTTTCCTATAAATCAAAACCTGCAGTTAAACGGTGAATTTTGGTCTTCTATTTCGTACTAATGCTTTAAAGGAAAAATAAAAGAAGTGCCAGCATAAGAGAGAGGCGTGAGAGCAAAGATCAAGAAGAGGCGGAGATTTGCCATGAATCTAGCACCGCTGCAACTCGCTCTCTTCTCCATTCTCGATCGGTAGATGCAGGGTATGTTCCATTGATCTAATACCCCGTCGTTTCCTTGCACCAGTCGCGACTGTCTGCGAGGATTTCGAACAGAAGAGAGGAAGGAGAAACTGCAGCTATTTGCGATGGTTTCGAAGGGGATGGTCCATGATTTTGATCGCGTGAGATGCGGCCGAGAGAGACGAGGGCAGGTGGGTAAAACGAGCGTTGGAAACATACTAAAATAAAAACGCAGTTCTTAGATAATCAGTCAAAACGTGCTAATCAAACGATACAACGGCGTTTTTAAAATAACGCCGCACTTATTAGCTGCCCCAAGCAGACCTTAAGTCATTCAGATTTTCTTAATAAAAGCTGTCGCGGGCTCAACCCCGCGGCCCGCGTTCTTACCCTGCTTCAAACGCACCAAATAAACTCCCCCAAACAGGCCCTAAAACGCTACTTGCCTTGGTCATCCACAGATCAAAATTTATCTCATTGTCAAATGTCTCAGTTTCATACTCCTCATAAACATCGCTTCAATGCCAGTATAAAGAACTTTAAACTAACATCAAAGATCAACGCCATAAAGTGGACCTCAAGGATTTGCAGGATTTGACTCACCAATGATTAGCAGGATTATACTCAACTGTCCACCACAGAGAAAAAATTATCCATTAGTATCAAAATTTTGTAAAAAAAATATTGCTATCTACTCAACTGTGCATTTTTTCGTTCTAATTTCCTCTCTAATCCCGAAGAACAACAAAGACTAAATCACAAGTCAAAATAGGAGACAAGATTTGAATAATAATAATGATACAGATAAATATAATAAGATATATAAGATACAAAATCCTTCCCCTATCCTTTGTCAATTACTGCAGTGGACATTATTTTCTAAACATTAGTTGAGAAAAATGGGGCGGAAGCAAGGTGGGGAGGGAACAAGCGTAACAGAGGAAAACAAGGAAGACAATCAGCAGCGACAGAGTGCTGGATTCGAGTATTTTAAAAGTTTAGGGTGTTGGATA